ATGTTGGACGCCGTCTTTGGCGTCGAGTAGAGGTAGCCGGAGAGCGTAGTCGGCAAGGTCACACCCAAAGGGACCGTGACGGCGTGAAGCGTGCTCCACACGTCCTTGATGAAGTCGCAGTCTACGAGGAAGTGGCGGTACGTCTCGTGCGCGGGGCAGAAGAGGCACGCTTGGTCGGCCCTGTCGAGCCAGTGCAAATGTGCGCGGAACTTGACCGCGCGGAGCATCACTTGGTAGACGAAGTCGGCGTACTTGGGTAAGATAGCGTCGGGTAGCCGGAGCTCGGCTGCGGCGGCAACGGCAGCAGGCGCCTCGTAGAAGTTTTCCTCGACGCCCAGGTGGCGGGTCGGTAGCTGCAAGCGCGTCCTTGGCGGGGCACGATGTCGTCGGGCTTCGGCGGGCGTCGTCAGGGTCAACGGCTTGGTAACCTTGTGAAGTCGAACCAGCCATGGCGGCTTGGGAGTCGGGCTTGGCACGGGGCCACACGTGAAGGCGTCGACCGTCGTAGCGAGCCAGCCGAGCCACTTGTCGTTCGGTATCACGTGTGGGCCGAGGTCGCGGCCGCGGCAATTTCACTGTCATGATCGCTCCATCGCATCAAGAGCGCGTTGGCTCCTAGAAGGCTGCGTTAGTATGTCTGCTCACCAGTATCACTTGAGAGATTTCGCAAGCCCAGTATGTGTAGCTTCAACGAGTTTTGTATTGGACTGGACGCTCTGGCTCAAAACTCGCCTTTACACATTAAAGGAAAAATGAGGTTGGCATTGTCAAATTGCTCTGTGGTGCAGATATGACTCTAGGAGCACTGATGCACCAGGCGTCGTCGCTCGTGGTGCCGTCTGAGAACGTGGACGGGTCGTTTACTCCACCCAACAGTCTCTGTGATGACGAGATTGCTGCTCAAGTAGAAGCTGCTGTCCGCGACTCTGCGGCATCCGACGCCAGCGCAGCCCAAACCGCGCATTTAAAGCGCCGAGAGCGCATGCTATGGGGTGCTGTCGCGGCTGTCCTTTTGTTCATGGTCACTGGTGTCGTGGTCCAACTACTCCAAAACCAACGCGCGCCGACCCCAGCGACCCAGCTACCAACGCCGTTCTCCACTGACAACGTCTCCATCGACAACGAAACGAGTAGCACTAGTACCTTGCTCCCGCCTTTGTAGTATCTAATTGTTCAGTAGATTTGAAGTGTTCATGCCCACGCAGTGGTCCATCGCATTCTAAATGTATTTTCCCGTACTTTTCCCGTAAAAATACACGACACCAGAAAGATACGTCGAAATGGAAGGGACGCGGGTCCCGGCGCCGCCGGTCCGGGCCAACACAACCCGCTTCACGCCGGCGCGGCGCCAGATCCGCTCGAGTAGCACGCTGGGAGGTCCATCGTTCATCACCGAGGTCGAGGTGAGCTCCATCCACAACGAGTGGCGCCAAGAGGTCGCAGACGGGACGAGCGACAACGACGACGACGATTCCGAGGCCGACCGCGCGCTCGAGCGAGAGTTTCGCTCGCACGCGCTCACACCGTTCTACAAGGCGGACCCGGAGAAGGGTTTTACAATGGACATTATGATGCTCATCGACATGGCCAAGGTCGGGTCGCTCCGTGACGAGTTCCAGCAAAAGGAGTCGGGCTTGTCCGTGACCGAGTTTGTCACCGTCATGCTGCGCTTCGTGCGCAGCAGCAAGCAGCAGTCGGGTGACAACAAGTCGCATTTGCACGATCTCACGGAGCCCCAGCTCATTGCGTACCTCTCGGAGCTCTTTGCGCAGATCGATATCAACGGCGATGGCACGATGGAGTGGGAAGAGTTTACGTCATTCATCGTCGACACGGGTCTCGAGAGTCAGCAGCCCAATTCGATTCAAATGTACCATCACTCGAGCTGGGAAGACACGTCCAAGCACAGCTCGGGCATCGACCGCATGTACTACTTCCCGACCAACGACCGCCTCGCGCTCTGCGAGTACGGCGGCCACTCGCTTAAAATCTACAACTCCCGCTGCGAGCTCCTCAAAGCACTCAAGTCCCCCGACGGCTTTGTGCTCTGCGCCGAATACGTCGACAAGGTGTCGAATGTTGCTTCTTGCCTCACTTTTCCATCGTAAACCGACTAGCTCAGCCAATATGTTGTCGCGTCGTCGGACCTGCAGCTGCGCTTCTACGACGACACGTCCTACCGCTTGATCAAGAGCTGTCATACGCCCACGTCACAAAACTGTTTGCGGTGGTATCCCCAAGCCAACGTGCTCTTTTCCGGTGTACGCACGCTCGCAACTTGGCTTCCTGCAGGTGTGATTTGTGCGAGTAGAGTGCCAGTGGCATCATCTACGCGTGGGACGCCGACAGGATGGAGGAGCGTCATCACATGGGCGGGATCGGTCGCGACGGGAAGCTCTTGACGCGGTCCCACGACGGCATCGTACTCGACCTCCTCAACGTACTTTGTAGTGTCAAATGACGTCAGGTGACAATTGTGTGATCTAGCTCGAGACGCTCGAGACACTGGCGTCAGCCAGCATGGACAAGAGCATTCGGCTGTGGGACGTGAATACGGGCAAGCACAAGCAGCAGCTCGACGGACACATGAAGGGCGTCCGCGCCCTCGCCTACTCGTCCGAATATCGGTTCTTAGTCTCGGCAGGGTTCGACTTTGACGCACTTGTCTGGAACCCGTATGTGGATCAGCTCATTTTGCGTCTGCACGGGCACCAAAACTCGCTCTGTGGCGTCGAGATCGTCCCCGACACGCCGCAGATCATTACAGCCGACATTGACGGCGTCTTCAAGGTAGACCTTTGCGAAGCATACGACAAAATGTAAATCGCGGTTAGGTGTGGGACATTCGCAACTTTGCGTGCATGCAAACGTTTACTGCGGAAAACGTGAGCCTCGGAGAAATCAAGACATTTGCATCCGTGACGTCCCAGAAGCGAATCGTTGCTGGCGGCAAGCGGGTTTCTCACCATCGATTGCGCGGTGCGGATGCGCTCATGTGAATTTGCGTTATAGATGACGGCATTTGACTATGAAAAGCTGCGCAATCCCAAGCTCACGGACGATTTTCCCGTCTTTGTGGTCCTGTACAACCCCGTGTCGCTCTCGCTCATTACGGCAGCGGGCACCGACATCAAGGTATTCGACCGACATACGTCGGCTTGGGACCACCACCGCTATCTAGATCTGGGATGCAAATCTGGGCAAGCTCCTTCGCGTGTATCGGTATTACTTCAACATCTTTCAGGGGATACAGAAAATCCTTGCTAGAAATGTGAGCACGACGGATGTGACGTCGCTCTGCTTGGACTCTCAGTGCCGCAAGTTTATCGTTGGCGACCACGAAGGCAACGTCCGTGTCTTCGACTACCTCAACGGTGCCCTCATGAAGGCATTTGCATATCCCGAGACAAACGACCGCGCCCACTTGGGCGAAGTCGCGCGCTTGGTCTACTGCAACGCGTACCGCAGCGTCATTTCCGCGTCGTGGGACACGACCGTCTGCATCCACGACGAGTCCGACCCCGAGCGCGGCGTGCTCCTCCGAAAAATGACCGGCGGCCACACGGGGGATATCACGAGCCTCGCCTACTCGCACACCCTCTCGCTCATCGCAACGGGGTCGCTCGACTGCATGGTGCAAATCTGGGACTACGAGTTTGGCCGGTACTTCCTCGATCTCAACCCGCAACACTGAATTCGCATGTGTAGGCTCGACGGGACGTGTATTGGGCACACAAGCGGCATCTCGAGCCTTCTCTTCCTCGACCCGTACCCGCTCCTCGCAGTTTGCGACCTCCACGGTAACGTGTGTCTCTGGGCCATGCGTCCGAGCAAGTACAAGTACCGCTGCGTGCTGCGTTTTCGCGTGCAAACGACTCTGTCCCTCACCAAGCGGCACGGCGCATCGCATTTGCCCGTCATGACCACGCACGTCCACACAAAGCCGCTCACGCGCCGGCAAAAAGCGATCGGCTTCGTCCCGTCCAGCGCGATTCTCGACTACTTTCTCATTGGCGGCGACGACAAGGGCGTCCTGAGCGTGTGGAACCTCTACCCGTTGCTGCATAAATTGGAGGCAGACTTTGGCATCCGAGCCATGGACAAGGCCGTCGAGTGCGTCAACCCGGGGCGCAATCTGCGCATTCACGCGGCCGAGCTCGTGCGCAAGACCAAGGACACGCCCGAGTGGCTCTCGTACGCGGCCCGCGACCCGCAAACCACGTTTCACTTTAGCCGCGAGAGCCAAATGCCGCTGCTTCGCTTGCAGCAGCTCGAGGCAGTGCACCAATGGCGTGCGCACGACGACGTCATCTACTCGATCCAAGTCGTGCTCGACCACAGCACCGTGACGCTCGTCTCGTCCTCGTTTGACCGGATGGTCAAACTCTGGCGCCTCGACGGCGAGAGCCTCGGGGCGCTCACGCAGGGCGACATGGAGCTCGGGAAGCAGCCGTACAAGTTCCCCATCGACTACCAGCACCGCGAATTTGAAAAGCTGGTGCACGCCAAGACCGTCATCAAGCAAGTCCGGAAAACGAAAAAGGAGGACGAGAGTCGGGACCCTGTCCGCGTCTTGCGGCCCAAAGCACCGCCACCACCCGCCATCGAGAGCATGCGCGAATACCTCGACGGTCCGCCGGGGTCGGACGCGTCCGGGAGTCTGCCGCCCCTGCATCTCAAGTCGGCTTCGGCGACATGGACCAAGCTACGCAAGACGCCGCGCATCAAACCCGTCTCAGCGCGCGGGGCGGGCCGCTCGATCCGCGGGAAACGCGCCGATAACACAAGGAAAGAATCGTAAGAGCCGATTGTTACTTTGTCTGACTGCTGTTGCCTTCATCTTCGTCCATGGGGCCGACGACCGCGAGGATCTGGGTCTGCAGCACCGCGGCTTCGTCGTCGCGACCCGCAGCCCGGAGCGCCTCGGCCCAGTTGTGCATGGCCGTGATCGTTTCCATGTGCTCCAAGCCGAGCTTGGCCTCGCGGATCTCGGTCGTCGCCTGGAAGAGATCGATGGCCTCGTCGAGCTTCCCGAGCTCCTTGTAGACGATGCCAACGTTATTCATTGCGAGCGCCGTCAGCGTCGAGTCGCGCCCGAGCTTGGCTTGTAGCCGCTCCATGGCCTCGACGACCATCTCTTCGCCCTTCTCCTTCTTGTGCGTGTGCCACAGCAGCATGCCAACGTTCGACATGCCAATCGCAATGTCCGGGTGGTCGTTCGCGAGGTTTTCCTTGCGAATGCGCAGCGATTCTATCCAAGATGAAAGATTGGAAAAGATGATCATCATCGAGGATCGATGCGAGGACCTTGAAAGCAGTCGAGCGCGTTGTCGAGGGCCTCGACCTTTTGCATGCCCGAAAGCACGTGCGACTGGAGGCGGTAGACGCCGCCGAGGTTGTGCAAGGTCGTCGCGAACGATGCATGGCCTTCGCCGACGCACTCCTTGTAGACACGGAGGGCCTCTTCGTACGTTGCAATCGCGTCCGTGAGCTGGCTCAGGTTCTTCTGCATGAGCGCAATGTTGTTGAGCGTGCTCGCGTACACGGGGTGGTCGTTGCCAAAGTGGTCCTTGACCGTATCCCGGCAGATGAGCGCCATGTCCAGCGCCGCCTCAAAGTCGCCTTGGCTACAGCATGTTTGAAGTCGCTTCGAGGAAGGAAGCATGCAGGCATGGCGTACGTACGTGTAGAACTCGCGGACCTTTTGCTGCATGCCAGCAATGTTGGACTCGGTGTCGGCAAAGTGCGCCCGGCCGGGTGTCGACGTCACGGGCACGTGAAGCTTGGACGAGAAGGCGCGCGCCGGCTGCAGCACTTGGCGGCGCGTCGCGTGGAGGAGCGGTGCCACGGCGACCGCCGAGCGTCGCACGAGTCGGGCGAAGACCATTGGATCAATGCAGGACCAAGCCGAATTCCGCAAGCGTCGACCGATTTTCACCTCGAAATTCGGATGCTTTGTATTGCTTTCAAGCGCTCGACATGTTATTTAACAGCTGGACGTTGAAGTTGCCGGAAACGGCATGCGCGATATCGCAAGGATGGGCATGATGCTTGATGGACTAGAAGACTAGGAGACGGTGTGTAGAAGCGCACGGGATGGCAAGGCCGACATGGCGAGAACCCGCCTGTATACATGCTACGTCGCAGCACGCTATCTTGCCAGAGCTTGTCGCAACTGCTATCTGCACGCCATTTCGCCGCAATCCGACGTCCAAGAACATACAACAGAAAACGATTCACATGTATAGCAGCACTAGACGTGGACAAGAAGCCGCGACGTTTCGCGGGCTGACTGCGGCGTCGAGGGCAGTGTCCGCAGCGAGTAGACCTAACGCATCGCATGTTGGTATGCTTCAGTGAACGCATCGTACGAGGTAGTTGCCGATGGGCACGAGCCATGGGAGGAAGATGGCGTAGAGGCTGAAAGCGTCGTCGTCCGTGGCCGTAGAAAGCCACATGACGAGCGGAAGTACGGGGAGGAAGAGGCAGATAACGCTGACTGTGACGCGCAAGATGGCTCGAACGTCCTTTGCTTCGTCCTCAAGCGCACGCGGCTAGCATCCGATAAGACACGAGAAGTTTGCATAAGACGTACGAGTAGCATGGCGATCGCTGCGAGGAAGGCCCACGTCGGAAGAAAGACAGCGGGCCATGACCAGGGTAGGATGGCGTCGGCGTGGAGGCCGAGGACAATTGCTTGCACGCCGACGATGGCTTGCCACTGCAACGTCACGAGGAGATAGAGTGTCCAGCCGTAGCACGGCAGCAGCACCATACTGCAAAAGGGCCAACTCACTGCGCCGCCGACGCGAAGCGTGAGCAACAGATGGAAGAGGAAGAAGCAAAAGTAGGCTGCGAACGCCGTGTCGCCTTGCTTTGCGACCTCCAAGCAGCTCGTGGTTTCGTGCGCGCAGCGGTACCGGTAGTGGCGCACGTAAAAGGCGCAAAGCGGCAGCGAGAGCCAAAGCCATGTCGTGTCCATCTCGCCCGAGTGCCATATAATGTGCTCTTGCACCTTGATGGCGATCAAGACGCCTACCACGCAAGTCAGGAGAAGGAGGAGGAGAACGAAGTAGTACTTGTCAGCATCGCCAGCAGCAGCGAGGACGTGTGGCGCTCCACATCGCAGGCCGTGGCCCACACGCGCTTGGCAATGGAGCTGGCCATGGTTGGAGGTTTGTTGAAAAATGACGGCCGCGGCTAGAACCAGCGAGTAGCTTTGCATTTTTATTGACACGCAAAAATAAAATAAATAATAAAATAAGTTCTGTGATGGGTCGGCCATAGCCACGGCTCGCGACGCAGAGACGCGCTCAAGAGGTAGCTGTCGCAATTCTAATCGTCACAAGAGAAGGAAGCAGGCGTGAAGAAGGCATTTGCTGCCACAGGTCATCTCAGTAACAAACGTCCTCAACGGCTCCGAAAGCTCCGAGAGATCGGCTCGCGTGACGAGACAGGCGACGGAGCCGTGGATGGGGCAAGGACGAGCTCGATGTCTTGAGTAGCCTGTATAATCAACTTCAACGTCGCAGTGCTTTGATTCTCTTCGGGTGCACGGTGCTGCCGTTTGATGATATGGATCTGGTTCGGCACGCTGGCGTAATTTTGCTCGCACCAACATGCTAGTACGGCTGTGTTGCTTCGACGTAGACTCCTCGCAACGCGTGGGTTTATACAAGGACACGGTCCACATTGCACGATACATAATGGACCAGCCTACGCCTATATCTACTCTCTACATCGCGTCGAGCTCGCCGAGCTCCATCTCAAAATCGCAGTCGCTCAGCGACGACGCGTGGTTGAAGCGCGCGTCGCTAACGAGAGGCATCATGCCGCTCGCCTCCATGTCGATGCGATGCAAATCGTCGTCGTCGCCGTCTTCATCGTCGTCGTCGTCTTCGTCAAAGTCGTCTTCGTCGACGCCAAAGTCCATGGCAAACGCTCCCGCCACGGCCACCTCGACGGGCTCGGCCTTGACCGAGAAGAGCGCGGCGGTCGGCGCGGGTGGCGGAAGCGCACCGGATGTTGGCGCGGGCCGTTTGACGAGCACGGAACCTAGCGCCGTCGGGCCGTCGTCCGTGAGCGTGTTGCAGCGCTTGGTCGCGGGACACTTTTTGTAGCAGTGAAACTAGCCACGACATGAGCTTTGGTGCACATTCCAAACGTCTTGAAGCTACCTTGCGTCGGCAGACCGTCGACCGGTTCTTTCCGCAGCAGCACATTTCCTTGCAGACAGGGCATCCGCCAATAAAGGTCTGTGCGCCATGCTCTTCGACCATCTTCTCGGCGCATCTACACACGATACATCAGTCGATGTAACAACTTGACACGTTGATACTTTTGGCAAAAAATGTGTGGGCACGTCAGGCAACGCACGTTCTTCTTGCGGAGGTTGCCACACCGATGGCAGCTCGCGCGGTGGCGCACGGTACCGTCGGCGTCCGTCGTGAGGTCGCTTGGCAGCGCCTCCTTGTTGTGCAGCACCGCACTCGCGTCCGCGGGCTCTGAGTCGTACACGGGCTCGTGGCCGTCGTAAAAGAGGAGCGAATGGTTCGCTGACGTCTGGAGCGTCCCGACGCCACCGATGGTCGGTGTTGGCAGCGCCGACGTCGCCGCCGACGAAGACGACTCGGAGCTCGGGTCCTCCTCCTTGAAGCTCGAGAAGAGCGACGAGCTTTCGACCATGTCGATGATCCCAAATGCGTCGTCGAGCTCGAGCGCGCCATTCATATTGAGGCCGAGCTCGTTGCCCGAGAAGAACGTGTTGTTCATCATATCGGGCGGCAAGCCCCACATCGACGAGATCGCAGAGTCCTGCGCCTCTTCGTCGTCGTCCGGCGCCCATTGGAGCATGTCATCGAGGGACGTGACCGGCATCGAGGGTGGCTTCTGGACCGCAGCCGGCGGTTGCTTGGCCTTCTTCTTCATGAGCGCTTCCTTCGCCTTGGCGAGCGAGTTGTCGAGAGGCGTCAGCGCAGGCTTGCGCGGCGGGCCCGTGAGCGCCGTCGAGGGCACGGGCACGTGGGCGCAAATGCAGTGGCGCTTGACGCAATTCCGGCACTGAACGCACTTCTTCAGATGGCACTTGCACACCTTCTTGTCCTTCTTTCCGATCAGAAACGAGTTGAGCGGCAGCATGAGCGGCGTCGCCTTGACGTCCTTCTTGGAGAGCGTCTTTGGCGGCGCCTTCGGGTCCTTCGTGCCGAGCAGCAGCTGGAGCGAGTCGAGCATGTCCTTGATGTCGGGCATGTCGCGCAGCCGAAGGAGCGGCACGAGCTGCCCGAGGCCAAGCGTCTCAAACACTGTAATTGGCTCGCATTTCGTGAGCCGCTGCACGTAGAGCTGGAGCGCCGGCACCATCCAGTAGCGGACAATATCCGGCGACGTGAGCGCGTCAAACTGCGACGCCATCGTCACGAGTGGCCACGCACCGAGTTGCAGCTGGCACGTGTTGAGCATCGCTAGTGCACAAAATCATCGTTAAAAACCCAACAAAAAACAGAAAAAAACATACCCGACTTGCGGCCAAGGCGCTCTTCAAAGTCAAGCGCTTGCATCTGCGCGTGGAGGTGGTACCCGTGGAGAAAGTAGCTCGTGAGAAAGACGGCCGTCGAGGGCTTGTCTTGGCCCGTCGGCTTGGGCACATAGAGCGCGTACATCCAACCGGACGGAATGAGGAGCGTCGACGTGGGCTGGACCTCGCACTTGATGCACTTGTCGACCGTGTCGGCAAAGAAGAGCGAGCTCGAGAACGACGAGAGCTGCCACTCCATAAACTTGTCAAAGCGTGCGGCCGACGGCGGAATGAGGTACACCCAGAGCGGCAGTCCGTGCAGATGGTGCAGCCACGCCGAGCTGCCGTTGGCATTCATGCGAAAGTCGCGGTACGTGCCCGCGCCGTACACGGCAGCATACGTGTTGGGGTTGCGCGTCGACGACGACCGGTTGAGCTGGTGGAACCAGTCCATGTCCTGGACAGCTACAAGCAGATTTGATGCGATGCGTGGGCGATTGGTGGCGAGTACCTTGCGGCGGCGACACGTGGTACTCGAGCGGCGTGTCGACGATAGGAAACTCGACGTTGTGCGGCCACTCGTCCAGCGACTGGTTGGACGAGGCGAGCGTGGCGACGTCGGCGTACGAGATCGCCCGGTACGCTTGCGACGCATTGTCGATCGTCTTGATGATGCTAGAGGAAGCTATCGTCATATGAGCCATCACGATATGCGGTCATGTGGATGGGCTACCAATTGTGTTGGGCAAGTCGTCGACCTGCAGCATGGTCGAGGGCACGACGAGGCCGGGGACGTTGCCGACCGCGTCCTCGACAAGGATCGGCTCCTGGAAGCCATGGCTCTGGATGGCCGTGATCACGAGGCTCTATATCCATGATGGGTGATGTGATGTTGGAGAAGCGACGCGTACCGACGGCGCCATGCGGCGGATGCCGGACCGAGCAAACATGCCTGCATGGAGAAGGTGATGGAACTTCTCGCTCGTCTTGTCGACGGCAATGGATACGTTCATCGTCGAGAGCTCCTTCATGTTGAGCGAGGCAAACTGGCGCGGGAGCGGCAAGAGCGACGCATCGGCCGTCTTCGTGGGAGCGGCTGCAACTGCAAAAATGCAGACGTTGAGGAGACGCTAGTGAGAGGAGATTGGGACGTACACTTGATCTTGGCGCCTTGGTTCGTGCACGACGGGCAGGCGTACTGGGCGATCGCAAACGCCTTCTCTTCCGTCATCTGCACGCAGTTGCCGTGGAACCATCGGTCGCAGTGGGCACACTCGATCATGAAGCGCTTCGGGTCGTAGCCTTGGCGGCAGATGCACAGCGCGAGCGTCCCGCCGTCCATGGCGGCCGCGTCGTTGTTGCTGCTGCCGTCGGCGGCCTTGGCCTTGGCGTCGTGCGCGAGGCCATGTCCATGCGCCGCCGTCGTCATTGCGTGCGTGGATGGCTTTGATAAAAACACGCAATATTTCCGCCCTTTTTATTTCGCCCGTCGCATAGGAAAGACAAGTCATTTTAAATGGGATAGCGGCAGAGACAGGGGGTTCAGTGAGACGCGTTCAAGTCATTTCAACGCGTTAAACCTATTTAACGCAGGACTCCGCCTGTTGAAGTTGGATGGAATCACATGCGTGTACTTTTGGTACTGAGCGAAAGCATCGACCGTTGGTGGATGCTAGAGGATAGTCAGGGCTATGCAAGGGTACATAAATTGAATTTATGTACCCTTGGGGCTATGGCAGCAAGATGCATTAGGACGACTGTGTGCATCATACTCGACTGTTCATTCTTACGAGGCCTGGTATCTTCAACATCGTGCGATCCTTTTCATCCGGATACGATGCCCGGTTTCGTGCGACTGCTCAAATTCGCGCCCAAGCATGACCAAGCGGCTTGCTTCGACGGCCCTGCCGCCGTCGGTCTTCGCGCCTTCGCTGGCGACGCTACATGCTCGTGTCCAAGAAAAGAGACGACGTGTGTCCATCTTCGGCGTCCGCAACGGCAATAAGATTGTGCTCATGTCGACAGCCTTGCCGATCTTAACCTGGTTCTGCATATCGGCAAGTCCGACATGTGGACAACGCTGACGGACCCGCTGACGGCCAAACCCTTTCTCTCGTGCATTGCCTCATGGGTCACGAAAGCTGGGATGCTCCGTCGTCTATATTGGATGGACTACGGCGGGCTTTACGCGCTCTTGGCGCAGTGCTCTAGCCTTGTCGTCCTCGCGTACCCACCGTTGCTCAAGATCGTGGCGTCTCCAGCTCACCGTGTGTCCGATCCCATCGTTCACTGCATCGAGGCCCACTATGATGGCCGCTCCGATCGCTCGGTGGCTTGCGTCGGGCCACGCGGTGCGTTTGAAGCTCGGCGGCTTTGAAGGCCTCGGTCTCGCCCAAGCAATCGAACGATCGCCAACGCTGTCGCACTTGGTCTTGGACAATTCCTCAGCCATTACCACGCGTTTCGTGGCTACTGGTCGTGCGCTCCCACACATCACGCATCTCAAGTACTACTAGTACGACATGCCAGCCTCCCCGCTGCTCACGGTTTACAATCCCGTCGTGCTCAAGCTTTGTGGAAATTCGCGGCAGACCTCAGCGGCCACCTGCCCGTGCTTCCCCTTTTGACGACGCTTAAAGAGCTCTCTCTCTTCACGATGGCAGCATGAAGAAACGGCCCGATGTGCCCTTCCGTGGCCCGCGACGACACGCATCCGCGCCATCCGAGTAGGCGACGTCAGCTTCTCCTTCAAGACCCGGCGTTTGCTTCTCGACTGGGCCGAGCGCTCAGACCACTTTGACACCCTAGAGTGGTCCGACAGTGAACACCAAGCCTGCTTCGATGGCGAGGATCTCCGAGGCCGCATCCAAGCCGACGACATCGCAGCTTCGCGCGTTGACAAGCTTGTACTAGTTCTGCGTACGCACGAAAAAACAATGTTTTCTCCAGCTTACCACGAGGTACGCAAACGACAGCGGTCGCTCTGTTTGTTCTGCGCACCAAGGGCATCCACGACATATGCGTCGGCGTTGAGCGGAAGCTTGTCAAAGAAGAAGGGTACGTCACGGACCAGCGCCAGTACCCGCAAGACTGCAAGCTCGTCGTCGCCGTGCAGCAGGGGCACGATGAAGAGCAGATCGCGGACGTGACGTCCCGCGGCGATGAGCTCTGGGAGCACGTAAAAGATGTCTGCTGGCAGTATCGTGGACCTGGGCGACACATTCAGCCACTTCAAGCACGGCAGGCGCGGCACGCCAGCAAGCACCGTAGACACCGCGTCGCAGCTCAATGGGACGGTATCCAAGCGGAGCATCTGCAGATGCGGGCATGTCGTGACAAGGGTTTCCATGAGCAGCGTCGCAAAGTCGCGCGTTCCGATCGTGCTTTGTACGACCGCAAGGTCCTGCAGCGCCGGGAGATGGGACAAACCCGCGAGGAACGCGTCGACGCCGTCAGCCTGCAATGCGCTGACTTCGAGCTTTGACAGTTGACGAAACATCGGCGCCGCTGCGGAGCATTGGACCAATTGCCCAAAGACGTTGCAGCTGAAATGGTCAAGGTGCGTAGAACCAAGTGCCGTCGCGAGGCTCTCGATCGTGACGTCGTCGATCTCGGCGTCGATAGGAGCTTCAAGGCTCAATTCGACGCGCCGCAGTGACGCTGGGAGCTTCCGACCGTGGAAGCCCGAGAGGTTGGTAACACTGAGGAGGATGAGCTCTTCAAGAGCTGTGTTGGCTTGGAGCGCGTCGCAGAACACCATCGCCGCGTCCTCGTCCATGCTGATGACGTTCTCCACGTGAAGTGAGATCCTCGGCGCGGTCGTTAGCCACGTCGCCAAGAGATGACCGAGCCGCGGCGTCGCGCGAGCGTGCTGTAGATCAATGGTCAATCTCCCGAGATTGGCGTGTTTGATCGGATCGGCGATCACCGCAAGAAGATCGCTGAGCTCGATGTGTTCGTCGTCCGCGTCACGCTGGGCCAAAACGTTGATCCAGATCTCCCACAGATTGGGGCACTGGAGCAGAAGCTCGGCAACCTGACGACCTTGGCCGTCGATCATGATGAGCTCGTCAAACTCGACAGAGAGGTAGTGGATAGAGGCGCCGAGGTGCGGAACGATCGAGCTCAAATGTTCTGCGTGCTGGATCGTGCATTCGATTTCGATCTGCGGGCGCAGCGGCAGTGTCTTGCAAATCTGTGCCAGTACGGCAGACGGCAAGTCCGTGTCGTTAATCACGATGCTTGGCCAGGCGACTTCGACACTAGCCGGCGGCGAAGCGGTGAGTGCCAGAAACGCTGCGAGCGCCGGCGTCCAGAGCGATTGCGGGACTGCGTGCACAAAGCTCGTGAAGTCCTCAGAGCTATCGATGGACGTTGCAATCGCCTCGATCACGTGCGGCAGCAGGAGCGCGTCTGGCGACGCCGTGCGAGCGGCCTTCATACGTCCGTCGGTCATTCCACTCAAATGCAACGGAATAGGCCATGCTGTTTGATTCGTCGAGCCTCCCATCAATGAGCCAATCAAAGCCAAGTTTTCGAGCAGGTACCGGAACTTGTCGTACCGGTTGCTCTCCATCGTTGGCTAGGTATCGCCTCTTGTTTCTGAGATGCAACGTCGCGCCCTGCGGAGCGTGGGCACCACGGATGGCGTTGGCCAAGGCGGTGGCATCAAGCGCCGCGTTGAAACACCAATCAAACTCCAAGGTGCGCACGCTGGCCTCAATGCACCGCCGAAGTTCGTCGCCTTGCAAGCAGAGAGAGCTATCGTTGGTAGAAACGGACGTTCGTGAGAGTTTTCCAAGATGGGCCGATCTCACAGCCCACTAAAGAAATAGTATACTCTGGCTCTAGACGACGCGAGCTCGTGTTCTTGACCGATCAAAAAAGGATCACACGATGACTAGAACAAGGGGAGACAACTTGTACAAAACAACACTGAGTGGAATCTATACAATAGCAATCATCTTTCACGCATTCAGCGTCGTGTAGCCGCGGTAGGCGTTGGTGACCAAATCAAACTCACATACGGGACTTGCAACGCGCAGTTTCTTGCGGTACTGGACAACAAACTTGTACTGCGTACGCAGCACCCACCAAATCTACCCATGTCCAGTCAGCCAAATAAGAAATATAGCATAAACCACAAACCTCGTAATCGCCGAGACACACGGTGCGTGACATATTGCCCTTATAGAAGAGGGGGAGCGTCGTTGTCCGGTAGCCGTTGGGGAGCTCTGCGAAGAGGCGCGTTTGCGCCAAGATCGTCTCGTCGTCTAAGACACAGTATGCCACAAAACTCAAAAACAGCGCGAAAATACTGGGTTTGTGGAGCTCGAGAAACGTGCCGCAGTGATTGTCGAGCGCAAAGCCGCCCATGCACTGCATGATGAAGGCTGTTTGCATGTACGCGACCGAGACGCAGTGGGGCTTGGCGCGGCCATCGAACGTGTAGCACGACGAGAGAGCATTCACAGACCCATTGTTGTCCCAGCAGGCAGGAAAGCTCTGGCTTGCACTCGACTCGATCGCAAAATCCAAGTCGACGCTACCGGTAAGACATGATTCTTGCGGCTCCACCCAGTGCGACTCCATCTACCACGTTGACGCGTAGTCGATCGCAAACGAGAGGGACCCGTCGGCAGCGTGCACGGTCGTGTTGCGGTAGACCTTGCCGCCAGCGTCCACGAGGCAGTCGGGGTCGAAGACGGACGGGAAATCGCCAATCCGGCTAGACCCTGAGGTGATCGACATATTGGATACGGCAGCGTACCTCACACGGGCGGCCATTGGAGCGCCGTACTCATCCAGCAGCGACGCCACGCCGTTGGCGTTGATGTTGGAGCCTGGCACCACATACGCCTAGAGAGCGCGTTCAGCCTCCAAGTGTATTGCTAGGATGCGTACAGGAGTGCCAAACTGATCTTGACAGCAGCCTGGTCCCGACGAACTGCACGGGTCGACGAGAAGACTGATGGTGTACTGCGGACTCGCCTTGTCGTTGATAACGTTGTACTCGTAGTAGTCGAGGTTGATGAACGGCGTTGCAATGTCTGCGGCTTGGTCGGCCTGCAAGTCGATCTGCGCCGTCGTGTACTCCAGAACTTCGATGCTCGAGCTTTCGTTGGGGTACGGCACGACTGTCGTCGTTGCGGTTGTTGCCGTCGCCGAGAGAGCAGCGAGCCATGCAACAAGGCGCCCCATCAAGATCCAAAAACGATGGCCTTTCTGCCAGTGACTACAAACACGCAACTTTAGAATCCTGCGTCATCTCGGGTGTGGTAAAACTTTACTGCAGCACCGGGACGAGGAATAGCCCTGTGATGGACGCGTCGACATCGTCAGCCTGCAACGCGCCGTAGTAGTAGAGATCAACCGGCGCGAGATCGAGGCTTCTCGCATGGAACTTCGTGCCGATGATGCGAGCTACGTCGAGTCCGCCGGTGGTACGCAAGGTTTTTCTCACTCCTTCGCCGACCCATCGTCCGTGCATGCTAGAAGCCGCGATGGCCCAGGCGAAGCGAGAAGATGCGCGACGCAGGAGAGCAAACGAGCGAAAGCGCAAGGCCGGCACTCGAAAAGAAGCTCTCGCTTTGGCGCAACGCAGCCTCAATGCGCTCCCTACGCACCGCTGCGATGACTGCCACGACAACCAATCACCAATGGCCCTGTGCGCAGATCCTGCCAGCATGCACGCACCCACCCACAAACGGATGGATCAACGACCAAGACGTCACAAGGGATCTGCTGGCTTTGAAGATGAGGGTTTCCAACGTCGACGGTGCGAATCTTTGTATGTTGTTGGATCGGAATGGTGACTTATCGACGAACACATTTAGCTGCCACCACAACGCCCGATGATTGCTAAAGCACAAGTATCGACAACTGTCCTGCATACCCGATAAAGGAAGGAGAGCATGCAGCAAGCGTGCCCACCAAAGATTAGCATAGTGGTTGACAATGATCTGTACATCATCGGTCTATCGCATTGCGAGCTACTTGGGAATTGCTTTAGTGGTCCATTCAGCTCGTTTCCCGGCTTTTCGGCGAACTTGGCCCCAGATGTGGTCTACTAGATCCATGACACTGTACTTGTGGCCGCGCACGACCTCCTTGTACGAACCACTCATGACAGACACATGCTCAAGTGATCTGGGGCCAAGTACAAGCTCACCCAAATGCGACTATGGCGCGTCTCGTGTGTCCCCCAACGACTTTTTCACAAGGAATAATGGCGTTGTTTAGGAAGGAACCAGCGGACTCATTTCTTTGAGTCACGACCCCAGCGCCGACGTGTGCGACGCTGGCAGCAAGAACAGACTACGATGGACCAGCGTAAAATGGTAGGAACAAGCGACTCAACTAGTCGGTCGATTGCACAGGGCTGCAAAGGATGGTGTCTTGGCGAACGAGCTCAATGGCGACGTTTGTGCACGTAGCAAGCTCTTGTCGCAACCGGTTTTCGTCTCGTCGACTGAGCATGCAGCAAGCCAAACGTAATGTTGTGCTGTACGGGGCGTGGCTGCCATGGATGCCCTTGGTCAACGCCGCGATATCGCGCTGGTCGAGTTGCCAATCGCAGTGGATGGTGCGCACGCCGGCTTGGATGATTCGCTGAAGGTCGTCGCCGACAAAGCTCCCGTTGCGGTCACTCGCAGCACAGTTGGGCCAGCGTAAGATGTCAAGGCGGTCCGAGCGCCCCGCCCACTCGAGAATCGCTCGGCGGCTTTCGACGGAGAAGCGGACGTCGTGGAGCTTGATGTATCGGACACGAGGCGCGACGGTCCACGTTTGGTGTGTGGCTGGACGCGCATCCATGCTAATGTCGAAAAGCTGGAGCTCATCAAGAGCCGACAAGTGGGGCAGCGCGGGCAAGAGGCAGCTGAGGTCCGTGGCGTAAGCAGACTGCCCACCGAGCACGAGCTTGACGAGGCTGCCCAAGTTGAGCATCGCCAAAGCGGCTTCAAAGCGGTGATAACCTGGCAGGGTAAAGTACTCGAAATGCGTGACGTGGCGGAGCATAAGGCCGTTGGCGACAATGCCGGCGCGAACGGCCGATGATTCGCGCAACGCGAGGTGCGACAGCGTCGGGGACGTAGCGATGGCGCGCGCGAGACCCGTGCAGTCGCCCACCCCAAAGCGGTACAGCGTCAAGCGCACGGCGCAATCGGAAGCCAGCCATCGGGCAATGGGAGCGGTCAAGGCAGTCTCATTCGCGTCGCAGTGCACGGTGAGCTCGGACACGCGGTGCATGAGCACAGCCTCGAGCACCCGCGGGTTCTCGTGGACTTCTGCGCGCTGGAGATTCGTGCATTGCGCTATCAGCTGACAGACTTTGTCGTTGTTCGTCGAGCGCTCGGTTATCTTGCAAGTGAGCTGTCCGACTTTGGCGACCCACGCGGCGAGGAACGAGAAAAAAGGCTCTTCGGACGGCGCCGGCAACGGAGGGCTGCCGAACGCGGACGCGCGAAGCGGGGCCTCGATGAGGATGTGGACCGAGTTGATGATGGGCATGGCCGCCGACAAGCCATCGAGGTTATTGTAGCACACGTTCATGACCTGTGGCTCGGGCCACACCTTGCTTGGTGTGGCAGTCGCGAGGAGGAGACGCAAGAGCGCCGCCAGCGGGGGCGAAAGAAAATGTGCTGGCAGGGCTGAGAGGACGGAAAGCACATCTTCGGCCGACGACGTGTACTGTACGATGGCGATGAGAACGGCGTCGAGGTCGACGATGGACGCCCGGTGCCAAGGCAGGTCGCTTGAGTCGCTGCTGGGCCTTAGCCATTCCTGTTACAATGATTAAAACGTTGTGAAGTTGTATCCGGCGCTTCGTATTCATATCCGGACGCATACGCCTCGCTTGCTGTGAGCATGGTGCGGGCGAGCAGTCGAGTCGTGCGAACCACAAGTTGGGGCATTGGACGTTCATCTACAAATCCGAGAGCCCCGACCTGCAGCAGCGCGTGTCGTACCAAAGGATTTACTTCTCATTTGGAATCAAGCGCACTGTGGCGTGGAATGAGCCATTTCAACGAACCTGGAACGTCGTCTCGGATCCAAGCGCACAAGCCGCCAGCTCGTGAGAATCGCATGGTCACTGTAGGGGATAAGATGCGTTAGACTACCACTCCGCAACGTCGATCCACGCATGGGTCAGCGCAGCGTATGCACACTATCAATCCAATCGGGGCAAGTTGAGTGCAACTAGACGATCCTATCGATTTTGCCCAACTGTACGTGGCACGGTGTCGATTACTCCAAACATCCCACGCCGCCTCCCACGCCTTCTTCATCCTCGCTCACTTTTCAATCTTCCAGCAACTGGATCAACTCAACACTAATACCATGTCGGCAACTACCGTGTGCGTGACGGGCGGCTCGGGCTTCCTCGGCTCATATGTCGTCAAGCTCCTCCTCGAGAAGGGCTACCGCGTCAACACGACCGTGCGCGACGTCAACGACGCCAAGAAGGTCGCCCATCTCCTCGCGCTGCCCGGCGCCGCCGAACGTCTCGAGCTTTTCCAAGCCGACCTCCTCGAGGTAGATTTCTAGTTTTGCTTGGTCAGCGCCACGACCATTGATGTAGGAAGGGTCGTATGACAAGGCGATCGAAGGCTGCGCGGGCGTCTTCCACACGGCGTCGCCCTTCTTTTTGGCCAACCAAACGCACGAGTCGCTTGTTGTGCCGGCGCTCCAGGGCACGCGCAATGTCCTCGACACGTGTGCGCGTCACCCTAGTGTCCGTCGCGTCATTGTGACATCGTCGACAGCGTCGGTGTACGTGCATCTCGGCACCAAGCCCGCCGACCAAATCGTATGTGATTCTAGCTTCTGCGCGCCTCTCACGCATGCATGTAGTTTACCGAGGCCGACTGGAGCAACGTCGAGGGCATGGAGGCTCGTGGTATGTGGTACTGCGTGAGCAAGACTTTGGCCGAGCGCGCCGCCTTGGACTACCCTAAGGAGCACTCTGTGGCGTTTGAAGTCGTCACCATGTGCCCGACCATGATCTTTGGCCCGATGCTGCAGCCCGTCTTGAATGAAAGCAGCCAAGTGGTCTATAACCTGCTCACGGGCGTGACCAAGGAAGTACCCAACAACGCGCGGGCGGTCGTTGACGTTCGCGATGTCGCGGCGGCACACATTGCCGGATTTGAAGTCGCGGCGGCCAGTGGGCGCTATATTCTTGTGGCAGAAACCACCGACGACTTTGAGATCCGCGACGCGATCGTCAAGGCCGCACCGAGCGCGCTAAACGTGCCTACAACCGCGCCACCCGCGGTCCGTGCGGCGCGCACGGCGGTGGATATGGCCAAGGCCACGAAGGAGCTCGGTATTTCGTTCCGGCCCCTGGACGAAATGGTCCAAAGCACGTGCGACAGCTTGCAGCAGCATGGGTTTGTGCGGTTTTAAGTGACCATCTCCAATGTACATCGTCGTACATCTTGAGTACTTCACCGTTGGCACTTGGTGCTCTCATTAGAGCTATGACTCATGGAGATGAAGGAAAACCTCTTGATGAGTGGCTTGTCGGCTATGCGGTCACCAGAAGCGCGATCAAGTTGGTTGTGCCACGTGTGTCGAGGGCCTGTTCAACTTCAAGAATCCAAGCCACCGTATCCGGATTATATCCGGATCGATGCGTAGCAAAGCCCCACAGGGCTCCTCGCAGGTACACTGGCCGCGTCGCTTCGACGAGGGCCGTTCGCAGGGTGCTGTGTGTACACATATGACTGTATGTACAAAGTGTTTGTGGATTTGGCTTGGTGGTGTGAATGCTCTATGCGAACAAAGCGTCCTTGGCATACAAAGATCCACGAGGACGTGCGCCACGGTGCGCGGCTACTCCAAGAGCTACTCATAGTCCTCCTTTTAATACAATCTGCAACTGCGTCTCGCAGCCTGTATTATGATGTCTGCAATGTGCTTGGCGATCGTCGTCACAGCCCCAGATCTATGGCTTTGCGTAGACGTGAGTTCGTGTGGCTGTCGATCGTTCGACGCGTAGAGGCTGATCAGCACACGGGATGCGCCACGCGGATGATATGCTCGGCTGCTTCGCTCGACCCCGCCGTAATCGCATGAAAATGCTGTCGCGAGGCCGCGCCACTTCCTGTGCTGCTTGGTCTACACAGCTCGACCAAGCAATCGGTCAAGCATTGGGCCGTGCGCCTCGAACTCCTCCGTAGCCACCTCGTCGATCGCTGCAATTGTGAATTGCACCCAGGAGGAAGCTGCATATGCGTTGTGACAAGTCCGACGGCAATGTCAATATCACCTTTGCAAAGGTATTCAGTTTGGCATTCTGGTGGCGACGGCGATGTTGAGCTATCGATGCACGCCGGCGGATGCCAGCCTCGTAGGATTCTTCTCACACGCCTTGCGTCACGGCGTATCATCGCCTCGTACATCCTATATCGGCGACGACGCAGCTGCGCCAGCGTACGGTAAGAACTGCCGTCGGCACGACCTGATTCGACTTTGCAAAAACATGCATTTTCACAGGGCATCGAAGATCGCCGCTTCGTAGCCAATCACGACGTTGGCTATCAAGTCGCGAGCCAATCGCGTGCGCGCCGCGGGATTGTGACATGCTGCTCGGATGCCACTTCGACACTGCCAGTCAAGCTCCTCAGCATGGCCGTGGGAACCGTGCTCGTGCTTCTCTGCCAGGCCTGGCGCCTCTTCCTCACGCTCACCTCCGACCCGTGGAGCCTCCCGCTTCTGCAGCTCGTCCGTGAACCAACACTCTCCGTGCGCCCGCCGCCGACGGTCCATCTCGCGACGAGTACGCCATGGACCAACGCATCCACAGCCGTCACGCTCGTGTCGTGGCCTGGCCGCCGCGTCTCGTACAACACGACGCCGATGACGGTGGCCACGTCCTTTGGCGACGTCGTCTACAACAAGACCTGCAACGAGACGTGGTTCGCACCACCGCGCAACCTGCCGCGCGGCCTCGACATGCCGATCCCGACGAACCGCTGGTGGGGCAACTGGATCGCGTACAGCGAAAACCACACGGACGTCTGCGCGTGGGCGAGTCCGTATGCGATCTGCCTCTTCCCGACGTCGATCGGCGTCTGGTACCCGCCGGACCGCCGCGTCTTTGGCAACTTTTCAGGCATTGGCGACTCGCCGCAGTACTACTACCACGACATTGCGAGCGACGTGGTCGTGTCTGCGGCCGAAGTCAATAGCACCAAAGGCGCGCGCTTCCACGTGGTCTCGTGGGACGACCTTGGCGTCACCGTCCGCGCGTCCGTCGGCAAGCACTCGATGGCCTCGTCGGTCGTGAGCGGCATGGCCTACTTTACATCGACGTACAAGGGTCTCTCGCCGCTGCTGCGCGCCAACCGAACAATTACTGCGATCAACGGCGTCAACGTTTCCGCCGGCATGGTCTTCAACGCCTCGGCCAAGCTGACGCTGACGCTCAACAACTCGCGGACGTGGATCGTATATGCGTCGCCGCCAGTGACGTGGCGCCTCACGCGCGCGATGAGGCTGCGTGCGGCACCGTACGATGGACACATTCGCATCGCGCTGGCGCCGGACGGTGACGAGGTGTATGACGCGCACGCCGACTGCGTCGTCCACGGTGGGCGCGTTGATCTCGCAGCCACGTCGTACAGCTTTCATTGGAACACGTCGGGTGCCTGCGCGTCGGGGCTTCTCCACTTTGGCCTGCAGCACCACATCGACACGCTGGATACGACGACGGCGCGTCAGCTCGCGACGCCGCGTCTCGAATCGTCGACGCGCGGCTGGCTATACCCGCTCGTATCGCCGGCCCTTCGCTGGACGTTCCACGAACGTTCGCTTGTGCCCGCGACGTTCTTGCCGCGCTTTCCAGCGCCACCCGCGCGTCTGTTGCGCGCGAACCTCACCGCGATCCTCCAGGACGACATCTTGTCCAACTGGACGATGGAAGTCAACGGGTCGTACTACTTTAACGGCAAGGCCGCGCAGAAGTTCGCGTCGCTCTGCCTCATGGCGTCCGACAAGACGGTGGTCGGGAACGCGTCAGCGTACCTGCGCACGTGCCGGCGCAAGCTCGAGATCGCGCTCACGCGGTTCATTGACAACACGTGGACATTCCCGCTGGTCTACGACGGCCTCTACCGCGGCGTCGTGAGCAGCCAAGGCTTTGCGCAGAACGAGACGTACGCGGACTTCGGCAACACCATGTACAACGACCACCACTACCACTACGGGTACTGGGTCACGGCGGCCGCGATCGCCAACCACGTGCACCCGAACTGGACGCGCTTGTCGGCGCTCAACGCCCGGGTTGAGACGCTCATCCGCGACGTCGCCAACACGAACCGGAGCGACTTGACGTTCCCGACGTTCCGGTCCTTCGATTGGTACAAGGGCCACTCGTACTCGCACGGCGCGACGGCCATGACGGACGGGAAGGACCAAGAGAGCTCGTCCGAAGACATCAACTTCCACTACGGCCTGACGCTCTTTGGCCGCGTCACGAAGCGTCGGCCGATGGAAACGCTCGGACAACTCATGCTGACGCTGAACGCGCGGTCGGCGCGCACGTACTTTCTCATGCAAGACGATAGCACGGTGCAGGACGCGCGCATGCGGCCCAACAAGGTGCTCGGCATCATCTTCGACAACAAGGTCGACTACACGACGTGGTTCTCGAACGAGACCCACTGCATCCACGGCATCCAGATGCTGCCGACGACGCCCGTGACCGAGTTTGTCCGAACGACGCAATTCGTGCGCGAAGAGTGGACCCAAGTGCTCTCGACGCTGCCGATCGTGACCAACGACACGATCGCCAACAACAACACGTGGGCGTCCATCATGTTTTTGAACTACGCGCGGCTCAACCCGGACGCCGCGATCGCCAAGCTCGCGACTGTGCCCATGGACGACGGTCTCTCGCGGTCCTGGGCGCTCTATATGGCTGCGTCCCAGCCAGGCGAGTCCCATACCGAGTCTAGTTAGTTGTCCTATCGTCAAAAAATACACCGACACTTTGAGTGCTGTCTCTGTGGTTTCGCGTTCGTGATGGCATTCTCTTCTTTTGGGGCCGAGCACAAGCCCTTACCTAGAGAGCAATCTGATGTGCACGAGACCGTTGGCGGCGACGAGTTGGGCTGACCGTGCTGGTTTGGATCGACTCGACTCGACGATGACAGGCAAACCTGTCAAACTTAATAGATTTGCCATCGAAACACAGGGAACACGAGTTTGCACTTGTCATGACTGCGACCGTGTGCGTGACGGGCGGCGCCGGCTTCCTCGGCTCGTACGTTGTCAAGCGCCTTCTCGAGAAGGGTTACCGCGTCAAGGCGACCGTACGCGACCCCACGAATGCGGCCAAGGTCGCCCACCTTCGCGCCCTGCCCGGCGCCAGCGACCGGCTCGAGCTTTTCGCCGCCGACCTGCTGCAGGTTCGCCTCCTGCCACCATGACACAATATAAACGGTGCACGCAGCCAGGTGCCTTTGACAAGGTTGTCGAAGGTTGCGCCGGTGTCTTTCACACGGCGTCGCCCGTGCAGCTCAAGGCCTCTCGGGATGCGCTGGTTGCGCCGGCGGTGCACGGCACACTCAACGTCCTCACGTCGTGCGCTCGCGTGCCAAGCATCCGCCGCGTCGTCCTCACGTCGTCGGTCTCGGCCGTCTACATGCACTGCGGCACCAAGTCGCCCGACCACATTGTACGAACGACCTCCATCGCCCCGAATCCTTTGGCAGCTCGGACGCCCATTTCTTATCCCGTCGATGTAGTTTACCGAAGCCGACTGGAGCCCGAAGGACCGACTGGAAGCCAATGCAATGTGGTACCCGCTGAGCAAGACGCTGGCCGAGGAGGCAGCCATGACCTTTGTCCAGACGCAGCGGCCGGCGTTCGACCTCGTGACCATGTGTCCTGCGTGGATCTTTGGTCCGATGCTCCCACCGAGCATGAACGAGAGCAGCGAAATTGTGCGCAGCTTCTTTGGCGCACACGTCGTTGGCCACTTGGTGCGCAACGTCGTTGACGTCCGGACGGTGGCCGACGCCCATATCGCTGGATTTGAAAACACGAAGGCGCAAGGTCGGTATCTCTTGATCGCGCACTCGTCCACGGAGCAAGAGCTCTGCGATGGGCTTCGTGTTGCACTGCCGACCCTCGCCCACCAATTGCCAACCACGCGCGTGCCCGACGCGCAGATGCCACAGGTGCGCTTCGACTGCAGCAAAGCTGTGGACGACCTCGGTCTGCGCTTCTTGTCGCTGCAAGAAACGCTCGGAGCAACGTGCGCGACCATGCTCCAGCACGGCTTTCTCAACCCTAAATAGCATGATCAATGATGCTCTGCCACTGATGCGCTGCATTGGATGTTGACGGTCCAGCTGGACGGGTTAGGTGTGGGTTAGGTGTAGGGTTGAGGATGTGTTTTTGTCAAGGGATTTCCTTGGTATTTATCCAGCTGACCGGCTTGGTGCCTGGGAGGTGGTGGCGAACGATATACAAGAGTCGTTTAATACCATCGACGTATCGCTTCGCCTTGTGCGTGTGCGTTCAACTCAACTTGTTTGTCCCGACACATTATTCTACTTGGTCGCGGCGACTCCGCGCCTGCGTTTGCCTTATCGATTGCACTTGCTTGTGGGAGAAAAACATGGGCTTTCAAATGGTTATTGAATGCAAATCAAACCTTACCCATTGTCGGGCCGCTCGTCGGCCTTAGCGCTGACTCGCATGGTGCTTGGCACGCTTGGTACTTGGCATCGAAGTGGCCACGGCCCGCTTCTTCGTCGTATCTCGGAGGTACGCAATGCAAGCCTCGATGCGCAGACGCTTATGAATCGTAGACTCATCTCGGCAGCCGTCACCCCGTCCATCGAAGCAGTGCTTACAGTTGCAGTCAAGATCACCCTCCGATTCTAACTGTAGCAATGGTAGAGCCGCTGCTACTAACGCTTGGCGGCTAGACGCGTATTTCACCGGAAGCTTGTCGTCAAGCAAGCGGATCATCGGGTAGAGCACCGAGAGGGTGTACTGGAGACGCGGGTACTGGTCGGCTTGGCCAACCTTTTTGAGGAGGCCCGCGACAAAACGAGGTACGTGCGACGGCGAGAGATGGTCGAGAACGAGCAAAACAACGAGCATAGCGTTGTTGCCATCACTGTCGTTGTACGAGTGCGGTCTATCCAAGAGCGACTTGGTCAAGCCTACCAGCGCGTTGGCGATCGCAGTCGCATCGGCGACAGCGACATGCAAGCCTTGATCGAGGGCGCGCAGCAACGCACACGCCGTGGTATCACAGCGGAGTCTCCACGAAGCCGAGACGGTGGCGACGAGATCTCGCTCGAGACCCAGCCATTGGTGCAGACGTGCGAGCCGCTGGTTGCGCACCCACTTGTACTCATCTCGGGCAACATCGACATACTGCGCCTCCAAAGCGTCTTGAACCAACGGCAAAAGTGGCGTTGGCGACGCCGCGTCCATGTCCAAGATACCAGGCAAGAGCTCAAGAAGCGGCGCCATGGCCACGGGATATCGCTGCACGATCGAGACCACAGAGCCGACGGGTGCGACGAAGCTGCGGATGGCAGCGACAAGCGTCGACGGGAGCCGCGAGCCAAACCAGGACGACGTAGTTGACGCTTCGGAGGCGGCGCGCGCTTCGAGTTGGAGCATGGCACGCAGCGCACATGTTCGTTGGCCGATCGACGATCTCTCGCAATCTTCCTTCTCGTCTCGGAAACGAACGACGTTGGCGACGACAGTGTGCCAAAGCATGACGATGAGCTCGGAAAAGTACGGCTGCTTGTACTCTGCCAGTGCATCGAGCAGCGCCATGACGAGCCGGAGCGTCGCGGCGAGGCCAGCCCAGTCCAAGTACGCGTACGCGTGATTCTTGTGCCAATCGCCCAAGCTCTGGTCGACCAGCTGGACAATCGCGGCGCCGACGTCTTCCCAGCCAAACTCAACGCACGTCGTTTTGAGCCACACAACGCCGTCGCAGCGCTTCGCGTCGTCAAAAACGTCGATGCAGTGCGTCACGTAGAGCGACCGGAGCAGCGCCGAGCGAGACTCCGAGACAAACGCTGTCATTGCCTTGCGATCGGCGTCCGTCGTCGGCACGTCCGTGTCGCCGAGCATCTCCATGACGGCGGTCGCCAGCTCGGACAAGGTCGCGTACCCAAGTGGCAGCGCCTTGTGCGGGGCGTGGAAAGCGTCTTGAAGCAGCTGGAACGCCGCAGCAAAACCGAAAAGTCGCACGCGGTGTTTCTTGGGCCAAAAGAGAAGCACCCGAGACGAGAGATACATCAGTGACTTGGTGGCGACCCACTTGCCGACGGTGCGTCCGACGAGCAGCGACGTGGCCAAGTCGTTTGGCAGCGGCGTCTGCGGATGCATTTCAACATCGATGATCGTGCGTGGCGGCGGCAGAATCGGCTCGAACGTCGTGCCAAAGTTAGTGACAAAGTCGGGTACCGGCTGCAAGTCGAGGTCAACGTACGAGTTGTCGCGCGCATAGACGCCAAAGTCCTTGTGTTCGTATTGCTCGTCCTCGTCGACATAACCCGCGTCGACGGCCGCGGCGTCGCAGCCCTTGATGACATTATCGAGGTGCGTTGGGTCGTAGCCATCCGGATTTGGAGTTTTTGGTAGGACGTCGCGAGGCTTGACTTTGTAAAGATACGCCGCCGCCTGGCCTGCGCACTGGTTGGCAATGTCGAATGCCAGCTCGTCGTCGAGTTCGTCCTGCTCATCGTCGTCAAGCACGTCATTGATGTTCGGGATGAGCCGGTAGATGGCGTCACGCACGTCTTCCAGCGCTTCCTCCGTGGGCTCTTCGCGTGTTGCGTCCGTCAGCCACACGAGCGCGACGTCAAACGTCCCGGCAGTCACCAGGCTGTCGATGATGTCGGGTTTGAAAGCGTACTTATCGACGCAGAGATCTGTGTTGGGGGCGCAGCGATACGCATACGTGGTTGCCAACTGGCGTGGCACTGCCGCCAACGACGACAGCACCGACACAGTGTCCTCCCAGTAGGGAGGTGCCGTGCGCTGCGTCGGCGCATCGACGTGCTGCACAACGTAGACAAGGTACGCACAGCGTCCAACTGAAATGGGTGCAAGCTTAACGTTGCAGTCGACGTACCACGCGGCGCAGTCGTCGCGCCATCGATCGGGAAGCAGCTCGAGTAATTCCGAGCGCATTTCGTGCGTGATAATGACGTCTCGGGGGTGTGGCGAATCGAGCGCCACGACCATCGTCCACGAAGCCTCGCAGGTGTCGAGCGGCGAGAGGCGCGGGGTCGTGTTGATGCCATCGATCGTCAAGTGCGAGAGTCTAAAGACGCACGACCCGAACGGACCAGCAAGTTGGGTCGACATGTCATCGAAGACGCTTGCGTTGACTGTGAGCTTAACATCGTTTGCGGGCACGATGCACGCGCCGTCAGCGGTCACAAATGGCGCGAGGTCGTCGTCGGTGACGTCGGCCCATAGCACCGAATGGCCCAAAGCGTTGCAGACTTGAACGCCGGTGAAGGTTCCGTCATAGGAAAGCGAGTGCACGAGCGAGCCATCGTCGTCCAGGTCCTTGACTGCCGTCGCATAGCCAACGCCCAGCGCCTTGATCGCTGCCTTGGTCCGCGTCAGCCCTTCTGCCATCTTTTTGTGCAGCGGCAAACTCGATTTGCCAGTTGTATCCGGATGCGCATCAGGTACATCCGGATACAAGCTGCATCAATGGCGCCGCTCTTCGCGCGCTCGGACTTGTAGCCTTGGAGGCTTCCCATCCGCACGCTTCCAGTGTCGTTGAAGCGCTTCGAGTGGAATGTGAGCTCGAACGAGGTTGTCGACGCCGCAACGCTGACGGACCTTGCGACCGCCGTCGGGCTCGAGCATATCTTCTCTGCAACTGCTTTGGTCCGCTGGCGACATGTCCGGCCGCGGCGCCAATGCTATCGCAACTGGAGTCGCTCTCGTCGTCCATCGACTGGGCAATGGCACCATGGAGGCATTGCTCGCGGGCTTGTCGTCGGTTCCGGCGCTGACATCGCTTGAGCGTCGCCATTGCTCTTCGTCGACGGAGCTTCTCATGGAGACACTCGCGACGACGTGCATGCATCTCGAGACGCTGCGTGTCAGCGATGAGCAGTTGACGCGGCGCCAGGTCGTTGTTGTCCTCTCTGGCACGCTGGACCTGCCGCGCTTGACGTCGCTGAGCATAACGATCCGGCTCTCTCCCATGCTCGACGTGCTTCCGGAGCTTGTTGCCGCGGGCCGCCGGCTCCGGACGCTCCACTTGGAGACCATTGTCCACGGCGGAGAGCATGGAGGTGCTGGTGAAGGCAAGCGCGCGCTCTGTCGGGCGCTGGCACTTATCCTGAACGTCCCGTTTGTTGTGGACGCGCTGCCAGAAGATACCGATGCGTTTGTGGTCGACGCCCTTGGGCCGCGCGCCGATCGTGGTGATCGATGTCGTTTGATTTTCAGATAAACTCAAAAACACTTGTGTTTTGAATCTGAATTGAGACGAGCTTCTGTAGCTCGTGCAGTACCACCAGAAAAACCAAATCGCACGCACCGTCGTCGTCGTCCACTATGCCATACATAGTCGCATTGTAGCTCGTGAGAAAGGCTGAGACCCCGTTGGAAGCGACATTCGATCGACTCGGTTGTTGTACATGTAGTACTAGAGCTAGTACTAGTATTGTGCCATTCACAGACGATATTGGATACCGTTGTGTTCATCGTGGTGTTGCGACGTGACGACGCACGGCTGCTACAGAGACATCGACCTTTTTGAGAACGACATGATGCGTTGCCATCGTGCCACGGACACCCCAAAGGAAAAAAGTATCAATGTTTCAAGTATAGAATGCACGCGACAACATCCGCTTTGCTTGGCAGTATGCGAACCCAGTGCGTCCGACCAAAAGTCATCGACTTCGGACGGGACGTCGTCGACTCGCGCCCGGTAGATCGACTTGTATTACCGTCTCGCCTGCACCCCCAGTAATTTGCTCGCTGTCGTCGCCCACCCGCGTGTCGAAGAGTTGATTCGCAAGCTGCAGCGCTCGGCCACCGCGACGCCGCGCCTCGGGCATCACTTGGACACAAAGCCATCGACATCGTCTGCCAGCCCCTCGATAAACGGGACGTCGTCGACTCGCCCCTGGTAGAATGTCCACGTCACCTTCTCGTCCACACAAAGCACCAGAAAGCGGTGCGCCATCAAAACCATTTTCTTTCTTCACCCAGAGGTCGGCAACATATTGGCCGGCGTTGGCGAGCCCTGGCAGCACCTTTAGCACATCGGAGAGGCGCATCAAGATGGACAGTGTCGTCAACTGCGGCACTTGCAGCACGCCAACGAGAACGAATGTGACCTGTACGCGTCTCACACGCTCCTGGATGACGCGGAGCATACGGAGACCCACGCCCGTCAGCTGCACGCCTGTCGTCGCGAGAACAGCTCTGTCGACGCCGAGAGGTCGAGCTGCTGGAGGTCGAGCGTCGTCAGCGCAGGCATAGACGACAAGCCTGCGATCAAGGTCTCGATGTTGTTACTGCCCACTTTGTCGCCAGTGAGCGACGTGTAGCCACTGCCTGACACACACCGTCGTTCTTGACGCTGTCGCTTATAAAGATCTAGTAGGGTTATCTCGTTTGCACTGGATTGGCTGCTGGACCACGAGCTTCCACCAATCCGATCTCGCATCCGGATAAAAAGTTAGAAGCGGATATGCCCGTTGAAAGCTCGAGCGACACAGCACCCTGAGAACAGAAAACAAAACGACCGACAAAGAACGCACGCCTCAGGCCCGCATGACGCCGCCAGATGCGCTCGCGCTTCCGCACGTCGTCGAGGCGATTGCTACGGGTTTGGGCAACCAGGACGACCTTGAGAGCTTCCTCCGAGCGGTGCCACGATCGCTCTGGACGCCGGCGCTCACGGCCTTTCTCGACTGCAACACGGCAGCGCCGCATTCGGTCTGCGCCAACTGGCCGCGCATCGAGCTACGCGACATGGACTTGTCGCCTGAGGTCTTGGCGCTGCTCGCGGCGACGCTGCCGCTGCGTCCACGTATTCAACTCCGGTGTCCGATCCTGGACGCAGAGCAACTGGCCTCGCTCGTCGCCGCCGTCGGACCTGCGCTCAATAGTGTCACTCTCCATTTCCATAGCAGGAGTGAGACTAATGGTCAAGGCCATGCGGTCAGCAGCCTCCTCTTGCAGCGCTGCCCGCATCTGCGCCGTGTAGTCATCTACGTGGTGTTCATCCTGCCGACCGGGAGTATTGAGCTCAACGATCTGCTTGCAGTCGTCGCCCACCGGCATGTCAAAAAAATGATTATCACCCTGCCGCGCGCGCCGCCGCGACTCGGGTATCTTTTGGCAGCGTGGCTCTCGACGGCGCCAGCGACGAAGCTCAGATTGTCCCATGTCGCCCAGATGGACCACGATGCTGTCATCGCGTTCTGCGATGCACTGCAAGCCAACACGACGCTGACAAAGCTCGCCATGTACAACGCACCTGCCCTCGGCGGCTTCCATGGTCGCACGCTCCCAGTGTCGTTGAAGAGCTTGGATTGGCATGCTCGCCCCAACACCGTCGTCGACGATGCAACGCTGACGGACCTTGCGACTGCCGTCGGGCCCACGCAGCTGGAGCGTCTCATTTGCAGCGTCTTTGGCCAGTTGGCGGCATGCCCGGCGGCGGCGCCGATGCTCGCGCAACTCCAGTGGCTCACGGTCTCCGGGTTGAACGACAACGACATGCCCGCATTGATCGCGGGCTTATCGTCAGTCCCAGCGCTGACATCTCTTCATTTTTTTATTGCGACCTCTCGTTGTCGACGGAGCTGCTCATGGAGACGCTTGCGACGACGTGTGTGCATATTGCCACACTTCACATCTACGCTCCGCATGCGACTCGCGACGGGGCCTCCGCTGTTTTCGCTGGTACGGTGCAATCGCGGCACTTGACGTCGCTGCGCGTGTCGATGGACCTCTTCGACGTGCTCGACGTGCTTATGGAGCTTGTTGCCGCGGGCCGCCACCTTCGGACGCTCCACTTAAAGATCACCTTCCCCAACGAAGAGACCGCTTTGTTGCTTGAAGCCAATGAAGCCAAGCGCGTGCTCTGTCGGGCGCTGGCACTGACCCAGAACGTTCCGTTTGTTGTGGACGCGCTGCCAGAAGATACCGATGCGTTCGTGGTCGACGCCCTTGGTCCACGCGCCGATCGTGGTAGTCGCTGTCGTTTGATTTTCACGTAAACTCAAAAACACTTGCATTTTGAATCGCAATTGAGACGATATTTTGACCGCTCGATCTTGCGGGCGCTACCGCTCGTTCAAAAGTTTCTGTTTGGCCTTCGGAAGCGTCTGATCGAGGACGATGCGATCGTGGTCGACGCGCTCGGTTCGCGTCCGCAGCAGCAACGATTATTTCATCTTAGTTTGACATGACTACCAAATGTCTATGGTGGGCGCTACCGTTGGCTTTTGCGATGCGTTATCAGCCAGTACGACGCTTTGCGAGCTCAGTCTCATATGAATGGCCTTGTTATCACCAACGTACCTGGCCTTGGTGGCTTGCACCAAGGCTCTGCAGTGGCGTGTGGCTTTGGATGTCGACACTGCGACGTTTGCTCACGTTGGATTGGCTATTGGAGTCCGACTTTCTGCCAATCGGATCGTGCATCCGGATACGACATTTAGACGCTGATCAAGATGACCGACAACGAGCGCAAGCAGACGGGGGATCGTCCGACGCCGCCCGACGCGCTCGCCCTTCCGCACGTCGTCGAGGCCATTGCGATGTGCTTGAGCGACCAGGACGACTTTAGCAGCCATCTGCACGCGGTGCCACGATCTCTCTGGACGCCGGCGCTCTCGGCCTTTCTCGACTGCAACTCGACAACGCCGCATTCGGTCCGCGCCAACTGGCCGCACATCAAGCTGCGCGACATGGACTTGCAGCCTTCGGTCTTGGCGCTTCTCGCGGCGACGCTGCCGCTGCGTCCACGTATTCAACTGCATTGCTTCATCCTGGACGCAACGCAACTGGCCTCACTCGTCGCCGTCCTTGGCCCTGCGCTCAGCAGCGTCCGTCTTCATTTTCTTGGCCACCACGTGGTCGATCGCCAAGTCCACGCGATCTCTAGTCTCCTCTTGCAGCGCTGCCCGCGTCTGTGGCAAGTGTCCATCCGCGTGGGGATCAACTGGGCGACCGACATTGTCGAGCTCAACGGCCTGCTCGATGTCGTCGCCCACCCGCATGTCCACGACTTGTCTATCAGCCTTATCAGCCTGCAGCCCGCGACCACCGTACCACGACTCGGCCATCTCTTGGATTCTTGGCTCTTGACGGCGCCTGCGACGAAGCTTAGATTGGTCTGTGACGCGGCAATGGACGACGATGACATGATGGCCTTTTGCGATGCGCTGCAAGCCAACACAACCCTCCAAAAGCTCACCATCAGCCACGTCCCGAGCCTCGGTGGCCTCCACGGCCGCACGCTTCCATTGTCGTTGAAGCGCTTCGAGTGGAATGTGAGCTCGAACAAGGTTGTCGACGCCGCAACGCTGTCGGACCTTGCGACCGCCGTCGGGCTCGAGCATCTTCTCTGCAACTGCTTTGGTCCGCTGGCGACATGTCCGGCCGCGGCGCCAATGCTATCGCAACTGCAGTCGCTCTCGTCGTCCATCGACTGGGCAATGGCACCATGGAGGCATTGCTCGCGGGCTTGTCGTCGGTTCCGGCGCTGACATCGCTTGAGCGTCGCCATTGCTCTTCGTCGACGGAGCTTCTCATGGAGACGCTCGCGACGACGTGCATGCATCTCGAGACGCTGCGTGTCAGCGATGAGCAGTTGACGCGCGATGGGGCCACCGCTGTTCTTTCGGGCGTATTGCAATCGCCACTCTTGCCTTCTACTGTACTCACGACAACTTGACGACGCTGAGCCTCTGGATGCGTCTGCTGGATGCGTTGCATGTGCTTCCAGAGCTCGTTGCTGCGGGCCGCCACCTTCGTCGCCACATCTTGATGGCCATCGGGCGCGACAACTACGACATGGAAAAACGCGCGATCTACCAAGCGCTGGCACTGACCCACGACGCCCATTTGTGGTCGACACGCTGCCAGAGGACATGGATGGATCCGTCGTCGACGCGCTTCGTCGACGCGCCGATCGGTCCCGCCGTTGCAGCTTGTTTCTCTAATCTTGCAAGACATTAAAGTGTTGTTAAGCGTGTTTCTGCCTTGTGGAGAGCTCGCTCACGCGACGTTGGCCTGGATCGGATTGGTTATAATATAACCAATCCGATCCAGGCAATATATTATATTGCCGATTTTCACCCAATCCGATCGCGCATCCGGATACAAGATTCCAAAGCTGGATTGCAAGCACAAACCGAGATGGCCGACAGCAGGCCCCAGACCAAGGTGGCTCGTCTGACGCCGCCCGACGCGCTCGCCCTTCCGCACGTCGTCGAGGCCATTGCGATGTGCTTGGGCAACCAGGACGACTTTAGTCGCTTCCTGCATGAGGTGCCACGCTCGCTATGGACACCAGCGGTCGCTGCTTTTCTCAACTGCAACACGGCAATGCCATCATCGGTCAGCGCCAACTGGCCGCGCATCGATCTGCGCGACATGGACTTGCCGCCTTCGGTCTTGACGCTGCTCGCGGCGACGCTGCCGCTGCGTCCACGCATTCAACTCCAGTGCCCGATCCGACAGGCGGCGCCACTGGCCTCGCTCGTCGCCGTCGTCGGCCCATCGCTCGGCAGGGTCACTCTCCATTTGAGCAGCAACGGTGTGGCGAATGGCCGAGGCCGAGTGATGAGCGACCGTCTCTTGCAGTGCTGTCCACATCTGCGTGAAGTGATCATATCCGTCGTGCCACGCCAGGCGAACCAACTGGTCGAGCTCAACGATGCGCTCGGTGTCGTCGCCCACCCGCATGTCGAAGAGTTGTTTCTCAACCTGCGGCACGCGACCGCCACGCCATGACTCGGGCATCTTTTGGCCACATGGCTCTCGACAGCGCCGGGCCGATTCCTCAAATTGGCCAACGTCGCCAACATGGACGAGCGCGCTGCCATTGCATTCTGCGATGCGCTGCAAGCCAACTCGTCGCTGCGAGAGCTTATTGTCAGCAACGTCCCCAGCCTCGGTGGCTTCCACGGTCGCACGCTCCCAGTGTCGTTGATTACGTTGGATTGGAACAGCCGCGTCAACGAGGTAGTCGACGACGAAACGCTGACAGACCTCGCGACCGCTGTCGGCCGCACGCAGCTCAAGCACCTTGTCTGCAATGTCTTTGGCCAGCTGGCGACATACCCGGCGGCGGCGCCAATGCTCGCACAATTGAAGTGGCTCATCGTCTCCGAGTTGCACGCCGACGACACGGCGGCATTGATCGACGGCTTGTCGTCGGTCCCGGCGCTGACGTCTCTGGGTATTTTGAAGTGCAGCCTCTTGTTGTCGACAGAGTTGCTCCTCGAGACGCTCGCGACGACGTGCGTGCATCTCACCAAGCTCAAAGTCCGTGATGGGCATCCGACTCGCGACGGGGCCACCGCGGTTTTCGCTGGCGTGCAGCGATTGCCGCACTTGACGATGCTGAGCATGTCGATGCGCCTCTCCGACGTTCTCTATTTGCTTCCGGAGCTCGTTGCCGCGGGCAGCCAACTCGACTTACTCGACTTGGGAACGATCGTCATGGACGAAGAGACTGTTCCGGAGCATCGCTCGGACACAGGCAAACGCGCGCTCTATCGGGCGCTGGCACTTATCCAGAACGTCCCATTCGTCGTGCACGACCTGCCAGAAGATATCGATGCGTTTGTGGTCGAAGCTCTTGGTCTTGGACCGCGCGCCGATCGTGGTCATCGCTGTCGGTTGATTTTCTAAACTCAAAAACCTTTGCATTTTGAATCGCATTTGAGACGCGGTGGTCTATAAGGCGGCTACTGCCACAATTGGTCATAAAAAGGGCAGCATATCTGTCGCGTGACCAACAGAGCTGCCGTCAACACATCGGCGTCGAGGCAACCGCCTTGAACGAAGCGCTCGTCCCGGTGCGCGGTAGGATCGAAGATGCGTTTGTGGCATCCGCGCCACGTTTCCGCACCGATGATGGGATCACCGTTCAGCGTACAGAGAGCGAGCGAGGTACAAGAGTCGACCGAAAGAGGAGTGTTTGCTCCAGAGATATCCGAGTCCACTGTCAAATACCCGTTCCCATCGGTCTAAACTATCGCGTGGTCAACGAGCGGATCGAGTTGCGTCGACAAACGCTAGGGACGTGTTTTTTCCGAGAGATGAACAAGAGACTATAAAACGTCATCTCTATAGACGTCTTGAGGAGCGACTCAAGTCAGATATTGCAAGACCTGGTTTTATTGCGCAGGGGTGCACAAATGACCGTGAGTCTTTTTCTCCACATGAAAGCCACTGCCTGACACCAAGAGTACATAAATCCAATATTGGATTTATGTACTTTTGCACACACCGCCGTCCTTGACGCCGTCGCTTTGAAAGATCTAGGGTTCTCATGCTTGCACTGGATTGGCTGCTGGACCACGAGCTTCCACCAATCCAATCTCGTCTCTGGTTGGAAACTACTAGTACTAACGTACATGATGGTACTTTGAATCGTTTGCTCCATAAAGTCTGCTCTCTGCTGCTAAAGCAATTATGTAGAGCAAGTGTCTTATTCGCAACATAACACCGGGCCATGCACCTTTTGGACCGTGATACGTAGCTGGATCATGATCCCTCCGTGCGCAGCTCACTCCCAACGACCAATTGCTGGCGCCGACTCCCACGCGTTCAGGCGTAGCACTACACATGCGGAGTCTTTGAGTTAGTTTTTGCTAATTTAGTTTCACAAACACGTTCGATTAATTGAAACGTCACTCGTGCCAGCAATGCAATTGCGCTACTGCCTGAGGCATTTAGAACGTGTGAAAACGTAAAGCGATATTGGTGAATAGTGGGTGACGCACACTGCAGCTTGTGTACTCTTGATCGAGAGTCGCGTGCGGTTGGCTATACTACAAGGTTGTCCATCTTGGGTTGTCGCTAGTACGCATCCAACGACTAACGGTTTCGTGGGTCGATCTCCCACAGGCAAACCATTCCGAGCAGTGTTCTGTTGTCATCCCCCTGCCTGCGTGTAAGTACTCGGCTCGGTCCAAGAAGAGAGCAGGCTCAAACTGTAGACGTCGGTCGTGGTGCAGCGTTGGTAGACTCGTAAGCTCAGTGCTACTACGATCGTCTTCAGCATCTTAGCGTGCTCCCAGCCCTAACCCTATTCGCCTCCATCAACCACGCTCCGACCTCGATCCCCCTCCAAGCACTCATGCCACTCCACCGACAACCTTCTTTAACCCGTTCGGACGTTTTAAAATACTAAAGTTGTGATAGTACGGTGTATATATTCATAATCAATAGTCAGCTATCTAACGAGCTACGAGGCCCGGCGTGCGCTTCCGCCGGCCATAAAAATCAGTGCAAAACGCATCTTGAGATGATGCTGTCGCGTCTTCTTGCGTCCTTCGATCGTCCGCGTCGCGACTGTGCAGCGACAACCTTTACTTTTGGTCGATCGTCGCCATGTGCAGCACGAGGTCGACGAGGCGGTTCGAGTAGCCCCACTCGTTGTCGTACCACGACACGAGCTTGACAAAGTGGTCGTTGAGCGCAATGCATGCGTTGGCGTCAAAGATGGACGAGCGCTTGTCCGAGACAAAGTCCTGCGACACGACCTCGTCCTCGGTGTAGCCGAGGATGCCGGCCATCGGACCTTCGGACGCTGCTTTCACGGCTGCCTTGATCGCTGCGAGCGACGCGCCGCGTTCGAGGCGCACCGTGAGGTCGACGACCGAGACGTCGGGCACCGGCACGCGGAACGCCATGCCCGTGAGCTTGCCGTTCAGTTCGGGCAGCACCTTGCCGACGGCCTTGGCCGCGCCCGTCGAGGCCGGAATCACGTTGGCGCCGGCGCCACGACCGGCGCGCCAGTCCTTGCCGCCGCGCGACGGTCCGTCGACCGTGAGCTGGTTGGCCGTCACGGCGTGCACCGTCGTCATCAAGCCTTCAATGATGCCAAAGTGATCGTGGATGACCTTGGCGAGCGGTGCGAGGCAGTTGGTCGTGCACGAGGCGTTCGAGACGACGTGCGCGGAGCCGTCGTACTTGTCGTGGTTGACACCCATGACGTACATGGGCGTGCTGTCTTTGGGCGGCGCCGAGATGATGACCTTCTTGCAGCCGCCGTTGATGTGCTGGCTGGCCGCCTCGGTCGTCGTGAAGACGCCGGTGGACTCGCAGACGTAGTCGGCGCCGGCGTCGCCCCACGGGATCTGCGCCGGGTTGCGCTCTGCAAAGATGCGGACGACGTGGCCGTCAATGACGAGGTTGCCGTCCTTGGCCTCGACCGTGCCCTTGTAGCCGCCGTGCGTCGAGTCGTACTTGAAGAGGTAGACCATGTAGTCCAGGTCCATGAACGGGTCGTTGATGGCGACGACCGTCGCGTTGGGGTTGGCAAATGCGGCGCGGCAGACGAGGCGGCCGATGCGGCCAAAGCCGTTGATGCCAAGCTTGACGGTAGTAGTATTGACGATGGGCGCCATGAGGGTGGTGGGTGGTGGGTGGTGGTGGAGAGTTGGGAAATGAGCTCCATGCCAACGACCCGCGTGGCAGAGAAAGAAAAAGACGACGCGGCTTCTCTGCGGCCAGCGTCGACGGCGACAGCGAGTCTTGAGTGCGACAGGCAGGTGAAAGTATCTTTGGCGCGTTTTTTGTGGCGCGTCACCGTGGGACGCCGAAATTTCGTCCATCCTCAGCGCGATGTCCCTGCAAGAAGCACTCTGCATTGGAATACGACCAAGACGACGACGACGAAGAAGAAGAGGTCCCTGCGATGACGGCTAAAAGAAGAGAACGAGCCTGAGAATGCTTTAAAAGTAAGGAATCGGTTGATGAAAATCAGGTAGCCTCCATGATTTCTGAAGAATGCCATCGGGATGGATACTCGGAGATTGAATCTCGCCGTGGCGGTCGTCTACAGCAATCGTAAAGCCATGGTCTAGAGAGCGGTCGATGCACTGGTGTGATGGCAACCCTGTCAAAGCTCATGGGCGCAACGCTGGTACGAGCTAGGTGGGAAGCGACTCTAGCGACGGACTATAAAATTTGAAAAAGACGCACCGTGCATGCTTTATGATACCACGCGCCTGTGTCAGTAGCGCACTGATATGCGCGTAGAAAGGGCGATTGACTACCAGACGTCATGCCAATGGCTGTCCGCCCTCCTCCCATCCCATAGAACCCACGACCATCGCTCGTGTCCATGACACGACCAAGATACGGCTGTTGACGAAGAAGACGCCGCTCGCCTAGGCATCGCAGAGCTACGGCTCTGGCACATGCAAAACTACCAAGTAGGTTCTGATACTTCCATGGAATAGCTCGCTATTGAGTACGACAATCTTATGAGCAGAGTCAGAAGCAGATAACAAGAGTTCTCTGCCATCGATCCTCCTGGTTGACGGCAGCCGCAGACTCGCAGCCGCAGTGGCAGCCGCACGTACCGGTACCAGAGCTCGCCATGTCTCTGCCACCCCTCCGGTCACCTGCCTTTGGCAGGCTGCTTGGTTGCCGGCTCGGTTCCTGCGGAGTGGGCTGTAGGAAACCTCGTTGTGAGAGGAAGTGAAACTGATGTAGATGTATCCCATTTGCAGTGGAAGAGAAAGATGGATATTACGTTTGGTCGTGTTAAGCCAGCGCTGGACACGCGCGTTTCGCGGAACTACACAACACATGAGCGCGTTGCCTTTCTCCCATTGGCTTCGGTCGCCCGAGTGACGGAGCCACGACAATGCGTGACAGCGTCTTCTTCCGCACTATTGCGCGCGCCGAGGCCCAAAGCTTGGAACTCGATCAGGAAAGGATGTTTCTATTGGCTCAATTCTTGATTATTCTAGCTAATCACAAGATTTGATTCACGAGTCGTGAATTAAATAGTGTGAGATCCATTCAGCACAACGACAAGTCGCAGCCCACAGACGCGCCGGCGCCACGTAGCAGCCAGGTATACATCTCCACACACTTGTTGAACGACGTAAATGTCGTTTCCGACGCTGCACGTGGCGCAATCACGCGCAAATCCATTTTC